TGTCATATCCCTGACCTCTACAGTCATTTAGTTCTAGTTCACAACTTTTCAACATAGTTAATATAGACTCATAAATTCCTTCACCAGACGAGTTGAATATTGRTTCAAATTCTATAAAATGTTCTTTAATGCACATTTCGTCGATATCAAAAATTCTCAAAGTCAAAGAAAGTTGTTCAACATGATTAATATCTGGAGTACAATCTAACATAATACTATAATATTTAGCTTTGCGAACTCTACTTAGTATATTGTCACGTGTTAAGTTCCCAATTATATTAATAATTTCATTTTGAATAGTTTTTCCACAATAATGTACATGAGTTTCACGAGACATGACACGACGAACGTGTTCATTCMTTACTAAATCAAATTTTCCTAACAACTCGACAAGACCCAAAAAATTTCCATTATGATGTGTAAATAACTTGTCCGAAGAACCTCGAAATGCTAAATTATTTTTCCCAAGAAAAATTGTAATTTCAATTAATCGTTCTAAAACTTTTTTCCAATGTTCTATTTCAGCAACTATTTGTTTTTGTAACCTGCGTCGATTGATTTGTTTTCTTTAAGCCTTATATTAGTTTCCAACCACATACTAGCACATTTGATATAATGAATGATGAATGATATGATGAGGCGAATTCTCGTGTGTTTTTAAATACTCGTGTACATGTTTCCAGTCTTTTAACCCATCTTTGGCTAAATTAGTTCGACTCGTAGGATCAAATATTTTACAAAAAAAAACAAAATACTGCATTAACTGTTTCGGAGTACACTAGCCAGTTTCTTAAATATTTTTCTCCGTTACTTATATGTAGTTCGAAAAAATAACGAATATGAAAAACTACAGTTATTATTATCTTTAGGAAAATTAAAATTTTTCATACAATCAATAGACATTTTGGATCCTGTTGTTATCAAATAATCTTTGTCAGTAGATGTTAATTGTTCAGGCCAATATGCTATATCATTGAAATTTTTTGAACTAGTTATTACGTCAAAAGATTCATCGATATTTTTTGGATCATTCGGGAGTATATTAGGAATATTACTACATTCTTCGTCATTACTAGAACTATTATTAAAATCATTTATTTCATTAGAACGGTCTTCTAATTCACTCTCAAATRTCACATTAGGGTTTTGTACGTTCATATTAGATTTGAAAAATGATGAAATTTTTGGACATTTTTCAACTTGTAATTGCTGTTCTAGTTTCCTTTTACGATTTTGATAACCACTAGCTTTTTTTGGTGCCATTTTTTGTCTACCAATTAATATATTAAATAAAATCGCATTAATTTATGAGCGCTGTTTATAATTTATTATTACAAAAGCGTAGATTCAAAATTGCTACTATTATTTAAAAATACTTACATATTTTTGACCGATACCGGCGACACCAATAACAACTGCTCAACTTCACCAGAAAAACAAAAATGAGAAATAATTGTACATCGTATTCATAAAT